TGTTACGACATTCTCTTTATTATTAGGTATTAATTCACTTTTCCTTGTGCTCTTCATAACTGGTATGTGACAACAGACAATAGTTAATAAAGAATAAAAACTGTATACGCACTTCAGGAAAGGAGAAACTTGTCGTTCGTAGTTTTATCAAATTGCGATAACATTGTTTACTGTAGTACGATATCTTCTCGACAGATGGCATTACCATCATGGCTGTAGCATCAAACGATATTGTGTGTTGCAGAAAACCGACTACGTTGGCGGCCCTTAGACAAGAAATTGAAAACGCATGTGCAGCAATGACAGTGGACACTTTGGCCAACGTTGTTCAAGCAGTAGTTCGCCGCACTAATAAATGTCTGAAAGCCAAAGGTCACCATTTTTAGCATCTCTTGTGATTGCAGAGTACAAAGGTAACTTGTATTAATATCAAATCAATTTCTGAATTAATACCTGAATAAAATTTAGTATTACAATATGTATATAAGTTTTACTTAATTTTTACAGTAAATTCGACCTTACCAACCGGACGATCTTTTGTGGCCGAGCGGTAAGGCACGTCAGGCTATATGACGGTTCTGTATAGGATACAGGTTCGAATCCTGTCGAAGGACGAATATTTTCTATGAAAATTTCTCGGACATTCAGGCCGGTAAATACTATTTATTATAAACAGAGCATTTACTTAAATACTTGTATCTATAAAAAAGAATGTTAAACGTAAAAATGTCTTTATATATATATATATATATATATATAGTGTATCAACAGTTCAAACTTTAGGGCGGGTTTCTCACACTAAAGAAGGACAAAGTCCATATAAACATATGTCCGCAAATCTTTTGTTTTTGAGTTATTAAGTTTAAAGTTTACGGTAGACGCTTTTAAATATACCATCTAAGATACAATCCCAAAATACATAGATTGTGGTACTGGCTAGATGACTCGGCTACCTTTGGTCTGGAAACGCTATCTGATGCAGTCATGCAATCCTTGGGTCCATTACTAATCGTGCGACCGTATGTAAAAATCATAACTCTCAGCTCACGATATAAACATCCTGACATTGTTAAACGGAAAACTTCTCCGTTAATTTGCCACTACACACGTTAAACGTTGAATACAGACTAGCTACAAACGTACATGGATGACAAATGTAACCCAGTCTACATGACACTGCAGCGCCATTTCTTTAAACTCAATAACACAAAAACGAAGGATTTGCTGACATGTTTACATGGACTTTTGTCCTAGTTTTGGTGTGAGAGACCCACCTCCAAAGTTTATAAAGTATTTTTGATACACCCACACACACACACACACACACACACACACACACACACACACACACACACATATATATATATATATATATATATATATATATGACACGTTCGTCGGAGGAGGGGCGTATCCAACAAAATATCTAAAATTGCTGCAAATTATTCATTATATCGTACAAAAATAAATAAATAAATAAATAGAGCCGATTACACAAAATTTCAAGCTCAATTTAGGTTTATAGTTCGTAACCATGCAATGAGATGAGGTTACATAAACCGTAAATTTATCTGCGGAATATCATTACAGTATTGTTACATAATTATAGTGAAATCATTAAGGTTTTTTTGTCAAAAGTATTTTATTTTTGGTCGTATATTAATTTAAAATATTCCTTTTTACAGGCTTTATTTTTTTAAAAGAATAAGATCATTTTAAATTTCAGAATTTCGTTATTGCCCATCAAAATGAGTGGAAGAAAGCGATCTAAAAACAACAATGGAAAAGAGAGGTAACAAAGCATAAATGAAATAACTCCAATTTGTTCAACTTAGGAAACTTAGCATTGCAGCCAAAGTATTCTAAAATGCTGCCAATAACAAAAGAGAAAATGAAAAATACCCAACAACAAATCGAATATAGCATCAAAATTTATATTATTTTTATTTAATTATGTAACAAAATACATAATTGTCGACAATTTTTCCATAAAACTTAATATTTCCTGTAATAAATTCTTAATAAATATTATTATTGTTATTATTTTACTTAAGTGTAAGGTGGACCTACATTTACAATTCCTTACGGCTAACCATAAAAAAAGAAATGTTGATCATAACTGCCTAAAAGCTTTAAGCGCGTATTGCCGCAAAAATTATTAAATGTTGACTATGCCCCTCCTCTGTCGAACACGTCATATATATATATATATATATATATATATATATATATATATATATATATATATATATATATAATTCTCTCTCTCTACATATATATATATATATATATATATATATATATATATAGTCGACACTCCCGTCGAATTCGACGTATGAGGGTCAAGCTGATCAGTTCCCAGGAAACCGACAGCCCGACAACAGCACATGAGATTTGATTATAGTGGTGAAAGTTTCGTGCAGGACCAGCCACACTTTTTGAAGGGTCGAATTCAGAGACCTGGTGCACTAAGTGCCACAAGGTCCCCAAACGACCCTATCTCTCTCTTGTCTCTCTCTCTCTCTCTCTCTCTCTCTCTCTCCCTCTCTCTCTCTCTCTCTCTCTCTCTCTATATATATATATATATATATATATATATATATATAATATATATATATATATATATATATATTATGTAGACAATATATTTATTTTAGTTGATAACAAAAGGAAACTGAGAATCTGAAAACTACATTTCAACAAAATTCCGTTCTTGATTTTACTTATGAACTTAGTGAAAAAATAAACTCCCTTTATTCTCCTTGTTTTTATTATTGTTATTTACAACTTCTGTTTATAAAAAAAAAAAAAAACTACTAGTAAGAATTCTTGTCGTCTTAATTTCTCTAGTGAATGTCCTCTTAGATATAAAATAGGTGTTATTAAAAATTTCGTCATGAGAATTCATCTTCTCGCTCGCTTTTCTTTAAAGAATTAAGTAACGTAAAACAAACGCTTATAAATAATGGATTTCCTTAATCAATTGTTGGATTTCCATATTTCATGAATTAAGGTGTAATACTAGATTGGTGGTTTGATCTCGCTATTTTACGGTTGTAGTTGTTTTATATAATATATAATATAATATATATAATATAATATAATATAATATAATATAATATAATAATATAATATAATATATATAATATATATAATATATATAATATAATATAATATAATAATATAATATAATATAATATAATAATATAATATAATATAATATATATAATATATATAATATAATATAATATAATATAATATAATATAATCGTACTTACTTCTTCTGTCGTACTTATCGCACGTGGAACTCTCTTCCGTCATTTTGCCTTTTCTGTCAATCACAATTGTTCAAAAATTTAAATTTTAAATCAATCGCTATCGCCTGTCTCTGCTAATCCTCTTCTTTTTTTTCCTCTTTTCCTTTCTCCTCAATAACTTTTTGTCACTTTTTTGGGGGTTTTAATCATTTCTATACTCTAAGATTCTTTCCGAATCTGGAGAATTATTTTTTTTAATCTAAAATTTGTTTCAGATTTCAGTTTTCACGTTAAGTATTGAAAATAGAGAAGAACGGTATTTAGAGTGCTATGAAATTAAAGCAAACAAGACAAGCAAAATATGGCTAAACCAGTCGCAGGTAGAGGGTTTCATTAAGGTGTTGTTTATACGGATAGGCGGAAAAGATCACAGTTAACCCTAGACTTGAACAGTTTAAGATTTTAGCGTTCGGTGAAACATCCTCTTGACAGTCTGTTCCACAGAATAGTGTTTGAGTGGAACTTACTTCTCATCGATGGAATATAGAGAGAATGCGGATGGTTGGCTTCAATGTAAGCGGCATGGCTGGTCTTAACCGTGAAGGTTAAACCTGACTGAACCAGGGAATGTAGTTCTTCCGAGCACTTTCCATGGAAGTAACGATAGAGCAGTGAGAGGTTCGTCTGTGAGAACGAGGTCGGAGGGTGGAAAATAATTCGTCATCCCCAAGGACTCGGAGACGCTTTTCAACTCTATCAAAACTGGAAAGTAAGGACTAGACAGCTCCCACCTAAATATAACAATAGTATTGCTATATAATAAATGCGAATGTCAGTGTGTCACTGTGTTACTTTTTTTCAATTAAAGGGATACAACTCACTAACTTTGAATGGCACTTCTTCTTCTTCTATATAATAAATGCGAATATCGGTGTCACGACGTCACATTTTTCAATTAAAGAGATACAACTCACTAAATTTCAATAGCACATCTTCTTCTATATAATACATGCGAATGTCAGTGTGGCATTGTGTCACTTTTTTTCAATTAAAGTACTTTCAATAGCTCATCTTCTTCTTCTATATAATAAATCCGAATGTCAGTGTGTCACGTTGTCACACTTTTTCATCTTTACTCCCAGTGGTCGTAGCTCAACATATCATACCATTTTGGAATCCGACCAACTTTGTGAGTAAATTAAAAACATTCCAGGCCGGATCCGAACCCGCAATCCTGAAATTTTGGATTCTCAAGTTTTCATTACTGCGATTGTTTTTGGTGATTTTTTTACGACAAAATTTTTTTTTTTTTTTGTACGATAACGATTTTTGCAACTTAGAAATAAATTTGGGAATAATCGAAATCAACTACGAAATCCAGCGAAAGTCACCCATGAAATAAAAATAATTTCTGTACGGAAAGTAAGGACCTACGTACATCAAATTGTCTTTAAATTAATTGGCGGCAGAAGAATTATCGTTGAACTTTTAAAAGGTAAGCTTAAATATCAATGCAATATTTAAATGCATTGACCAATTTTGAGTTCTTAAGTTTATTGTTTGCATATCGCATCTACTCCTTCCTACCTATTGTGATGAAGGCTTAATAAAGAGCCCTTTACGATAGGGCAGATTTTAAGCTAGTTTGCTAAAAAATACATTGAAAATGAGGAAGAAATGCATCTCCAGTGATAAGGAATTAAAGCAAAATCAAAAAAGGCCTTACAGAAATGCCACGTTCGGACAGCAGTTCTCGTACGATCACCGAAGTTAAGCAACGTCGAGCCTGGTCAGTACTTAGATGGGTAACTGCTTGGTAATACCAGGTGCTATAAGCTCGGATGTGAGGTCGGTGTAATAGATAACGGCTCGGAATTGGAAATTGGAGAGCCGAGTTCAAATTTCGGTCGGGTTCGTTATATTCACAATAGAATTGGGAATATAACGAACCCGATAAAATACATTCAATAAGATAAGGTCAGCAGGAGTTTTACTCTTTGTTTGATATGAAATAAGGTAAAAAAAAATAGTCACGTTAAGGTGCTTAGTCAAGCGTCATACTTGATACACGTTTGGATGATCATGTCTCTTTCGATTCATGACTGACTAGGCAGAAGATTTCTAGCAGCAGATTGCCGTTTCTTTCTACTCTAGACTTGTTGCCAACCAAGGCTATAGAACCCAGTCTGTTCTGCTATTTAACCCATAGCTGGTGGGTGATTTTCCACATCTCTCTCCCAGCTATTAGTTAACTAGTAGGACTTGTATTAGTAAATCATTATTATCTCCAAAAATCCTTACTGTATAGAAAAGTACTTTCTAAATAAATAAATAACTTTCAAAAGGTTGATAGACCGTAAAAAATCAAACCAAGGAAATAGCGTTATTATATGCATTAATGTAACGATTTTACTGTAGAAATATATTGGAAATCGGGAAGAATGTCATTTTGAGCGGTATTAACGCAAGTGTTACAGAAAACAAAAAGTACGCTTAGCTTGAAGGAAATACAGGTTCGATTATTCACTAAGACTATCGATCTTTCAGGCGGTAGATATTAATTTCAATGATTTAAGACGTCTACCCAAACACGTATACCTACTAATTATAACGTGTATAGCAATACTAGCCGAATTACCTTTCTTTTCTTTTTTCTTTTTTTTTTTTTTTTTGTAAGAAAATGATGATTGGTTTTAACTCAGTGTTATAATTTGTGTAGAAAAATGACGCATTTCAATATTACTCACTGATCTTACCGATGTGACCTCTATCTTCTGACTTTCTCCTTCTATATTTTGGATAGGGGTCATTTCCTTGTTCAAATTTAAATTTATTTTAAGCCAAAGGGATCACCCTCCCCCAGCCCCGGGACCCTCTTTGATCACAAAGAAATATACTTATCCAAGTATCCTGGGTAGCGTAGTTTCAGAATGGTTATAGGGTCTATCTCCAAAATCCTAGGAGTTCGATAACAGACAGACAGAGGCTGCAACTTTATATATATATATATATATATATTCAAATTCCTTACCTTTTATACTCAATCAATCAGTTAAGCGCGATACACGCTTGGGTGATCATGTCTCTTTCGATTCATGACTGACTAGGCAGAAGATTTCTAGCAATAGATTACCGTTTCTTTCTACGCTAGACTTGTTGCCAACCAAGGTGTTATCTATCAAGCCCATTCTATTCTGCTATTCAACCCAAAGCTGGAGGGGGAATAGATGGATTCATACCAAGAGTATTTGCACGTAAGTGAATACAACAATCCTGATTAGAATTGCTATATATTTAGAGATTCTTGATAAAATCCAAAGAAGAATCTGAAATGTTATTAGTCCTTGCCTGGCATCTCGGCTTCAGTGAATTTCCCAGTACCGTAACGTAGACTCCCTGTGTCTTTTCTATATATTTTTTTCATGATAATTGTTCGGGTGAATTTTCCTCTATGGTACCTAGACCTTATGAAGTTAAGAGCAATACTTGATTAGCGGCAAGGCCTCATTTTACAGTTGAAATGGTTAGATGTAACCGTAAGTTCTATGCTAGTAGTTTCTTCTCTCGCACTTGAAGTTTTGAAGGTACATGCTACTAAAATATATAATTGAATAGAAAAAGATTTTCAAATTTCTTTCTAGCGAGTTAGAAATATCACATGAAACGGGGAAAAACCATTAGACCTTATTAAACACTTGGGGGATTTGTATACATGCAATAAGTACGAGACAAAAGGGACTTTTAAGTGTAAATAGAGTAGATCTTGATATCAGTGGAATAAAAGACATTAAATAAGATAAGGTCAACAGGAGTTTTACTCTTTGTTTGATATGAAATAAGGTAAAAAATATGTCACGTCGAGGTGCTTAGTCAAGCGTCATACGTGATACACGTTTGGATGATCATGTCTCTTTCGATTCATGACTGACTAGGCAGAAGATTTATAGCAACAGATTGCCATTTCTTTCTACACTAGACTTGTTGCCAACCAAGGCTATAGAACCCAGTCTGTTCTGCTATTCAACCCATAGCTGGTGGGTGATTAGACATGGATTCATATGTTTTGATTTGTGAATTGTTTGGATGGAGGTATGGACAGCCTAACGGTACTGATAATGGATATGGTGAACCCATTTTAAATATCGCACTAATGCCCTTAGAAATGGCAAGAATTCTTTTCTCACCTCAGATAAAATATGATTTTATGCTAACATTCAGTTTGTGTATGCTGTTATAAAGGAACGATTTGGGCACTTCGAAGCGGTGTAATGGTTAACAAGGTTGTCTCGCTAGAAGAATTATGACTGAGTTCGATCCTCACTGGGTGCCCACAATTTTTGGCCTTGTGCCACATCAAACCTACGCTTGGAAAATCGCCGTAAAGGAATGATTTCAGTTTTGATTGCTGAATTGTTCGAATGGGTGTATGGGTGGCCTAACGGTAGATAATGGACTTGCTGAAACAATTTTAAACTACGCACTAATATAATTAGGAATGCCAAGAATTATTTTCTCATCCCAACTATAGATAAAAGAAAATATGATTTTATGCCAACTTTCAGTTTGTGTATGCCGTTATAAAGGAACGATTCCAGTTTACCCAAAATGGATTTTTGCGCGTAAATGATTGTAATGAACGCGATTGAAATTCGTACTTGTGTCTCCGATTCCTCATCCGGGGCCGTTAATCATCACACCTCATGTCCGTCTTCTATACTATTTCTATTTGTTACAGCTAATCCGCACACTGAAGTATTTGAAGTGTTTGGGATTTATTAATTCCGCATCCTGAGGTTTTGTGATGGATTTAGATTAGGTGTCCTTGTTCCAGATAATCGTTTCTGTTTCTTGAGGGAGGGGGTATCTTGAGCTCTACTCATATTTAAAGAAGACATTTTGTTTTGTGAAACGTCGTTAGCAATGATCTTTAAATCAATACAATCAGTATATAGGTAAGAGTAGAGTGTAACAGCCGTCACGTATAATGGTGCCGCACACGTTTTGATAATTAAGACGGATGGCCGAATAATTAGGGGTAATGAGTTTTGACAGGTCTCTGCCCTTACCTGTCACAAGTCGTTGATTCATTTCCATATGATAGCCAATTAGCGACTTCACGCAAGGTGGAGTAAGAGTGCAGTCACGCACGCAGACACACACACACACACACACACACACACACACGAGCACGTTAGGTTGATGCAAAAGTTTCCAGCATCTTTGTATGACAAAATCTTGTATGAATATAATTTCATAGCCTTATTATTCAGCCATCAAAGTATTTTTTACAAAACCTTCCATGATTTTACGCCGCCTTTCAGTTGAATTGCGTATGCCATCATAAAAGGAAAATTCCAGTTTTGTGAATTGTTCGGATGGAGGTATGGCCAGCCTAGCGGTACTGATAAAGAACTTGGTGAACCCATTTTAAATTACGCACTAATGCCCTTAGGAATGGCAAGAATTCTTTTCTCACCTCAGATAAAATATGATTTTATGCTAATTTTCAGTTTGTGTATGCTGTTATAAAGGAACGATTTGGGCACCTCGAGGCGGTGTAATGGTTAGCAAGCTTGAACAATTACGACTGAGTAGTGAGCTCGATCCTCACTGGGTGCCCCCTACTTCCGGCTTTGTGCCACATTTAACCTACGCTTGGAAATCACTGTAAAGGAACGATTCCGGTTTTGATTGTTGAATTGTTTGGATGGAGTTATGGGCGGTCTAACGGTACAGAAAAATGAGTGGGCGAACTAATTTCAAACACCAAACTAATGCCCTTGGGAAAGGCAAGAATCCATTTCTCATTCCAGCTGTTGTTAAAAAAAAGTAACTGGACATTTGGTATCGTTTAGTTTTATATAGGTAAGCCATCTTGGGTGTTAGATAGCAAGTCAGATCAGACAGTGTTCCTAACAATTACGACTGAGTAGTGAGTTCGATCCTCACTGGGTGCCCTCTACGTTCGACCTTGTGCCACATCTAACCGACGCTTCGAAAATCACATTCTTTGTTTCTGGTACCCTGTAACCTAGTATAACTTGTTGCATGTTATCTTGAAAGGTCATGGGATAAGTAACTGACCCCTCTGCCCTGAGAGATGTCATGGAAAGAAATTACTCAGCATGACACTATGGCGAGCTAAAAAGTTGACAGGAAACAGTCACATGCACGACTTGTTTGAGGAACCAATGAACAAGCGAAGGGTGGTCTATCGAGGTGAACAAGTGATAGTCTGAAAGTTACAAATCTGGTGAAGAGATTACACATGGAAGAATTTCCCATCCGAGCCCTAAGATCGTCCGTCCTGGGTATGACTATAAACTACATCCGCGTCCTGGGTAAGACGATAAATTACGTCCAACAGCAAGGCCTCTAACCAGGAGGTTTTGAGGAGTGTGGAACCACCTCTTAATTGCTGGTGTTCCCAGGTCCAACCTAACCCGGGTTGGTGGCACCTGTTGGGGTCCCAGCTATGGGCAAATAGTTAACCCCCAAACACTATGAAAATATAAAAATAGGTTTCAATACCAGCAATTCAGTTTTGAAGAAAATAAATATTACCAGCAATACATTTTGAAGGAAAAGATTATTACCAGTAATAAAAATCTTGTCGGCATTAAATAATCCATTAAGATGTTCATATACCGTAAACCAAACCAAACCAAGATCGTTTGTTGCGTCGCATTTGTAACATAAGGATGAGTATTACCATACAGAAAAAACACCAGTTATCTTCGTCGTTCTAAAAAAAACAATCTTTTCTCTTCTTGTACGTCATTCTAAGGAGTTGGTTATTCCCTGTAGCACGGTGGAATGGCAGTTTGTCTAATTT